AAAGTACTTTGTGTTTCCAAAGGCACGTGGTGGAACTTGATAACCTGCACAGTGGCAGCTGGATGCAGTATAGGACCGGCCCTCAAATATGAAGAGGGTGGAGGGAAAGGATTGTCCCTGCAAGGCTTTGGATGGACAGGAGATGACTGCGCCATGGAATGTAAATGTGTCTCGTGAACGTGTTGTAGCACACACCTACCAAAAAGATACCGATGGAAAGCACTGCTCCAATCGCTGTTCTACAGGCACGCTCTTGCACTTTTTGAGTTGATGTAAACGTGTGAGTCGAGACTGAACTTTTCAGTGTGTCTGTCTGGTCACAGTGGTAAAGCAGAACCAAACACCCTGGAATTATTAATAGCACCTGGAAATTAGACTCTTAGGTTACAAAGAAGCAAAACTGGGACTTCACCAACATGCCTTTGACTTTTATTTAACTATGCCTCAGAGATATTGTCTGTTAGAATTGGTCAGTAAAATATTGGATAATTTTTTTTGTTGTGTAGGAACTATTTATACAGATTTTCTATTTTTAGGCTTTTTAGTCTTTGTGTAACAGGTCCTTACCATTTAAAACTACCGCATTGTCATGCTTACCTTTTTTGTACACTGGAAATTTTGCACATGTGCAAATATTTGCAATATAAAGCTGCTCTGACTTTTTTTCTAAACTCTGTATCTGAACGTCTGTGTTAAACTGCATGGTTTTCTCTTAACAGGCAGAACAGAGGCACGCAAAGCTGATAGTTGTAGTGTGAGAGCCAGAGGTCACTGCATGGGAACTGTTATCTGTGTTTTAGATTCTGTCTAACCCCAACACTCATCCTGACTCCAAACACTGATAGCTAGACTGCCTGGAAAGTTTTACAATTAACATCCTGTAGAGCTGTAATTGCAAAAAAAAAAATGTTTCCAGAACCTGACGCTAACACTTGTTTTTTCCCCCCTCCCCTTATTCTATTTTTACGTCATTAAACATACATGCAATCTTCTAACCCTGGGAATTTTAGGTTTTCTCTTAAAGGGATGCCCAGCCATTTCTCAATAATTAAGGATTCTTCCTTGTTTATTTTCCTGTATTTTTATATGTCGCTGTGCAAGTGCAAGATGTTTTTGAGGATGTGTGTCTATTTTCTTTCCTGTTTTTTGTATTGTTTTGTCCCATCGCTGCAAAAATCCACTATTTAAATACAAAATATTGTTCTTGGATAAAGTAGGTGGAAAAAAACGTCAACAGGAAGTCTTGTTCATTTATCTGTGAGTTAGAGCACTGCTGTTGGTATCCAAAACACCTTACAGAGCTCACAGTCAATGTTGATTGTGTAGGGCCATAACCTGCATTTCTTTCATATGAGTACGTCTTGAAGAAAGGCTCAAACAATTATTTTATAAAACCAAATACATGGTCTTTATTGCTGAAATTTTATAACAAACATCAAAAAACAATCAAGAGTAAAGGCAACAAATAAACTCAGTTCAAGCTTAGCTGAATATTGTAAACAATGGGAAAACATGCAACTGCAATAATTGAAGAATAGCTGCTGAAAAATATCCAGACAGATTTACTCACTGGTACTAAATACTGACATCTACTGGACATTTATGGTAATAGCACACACTTTCATAACATGCAGGAGATTCCATTTTTTTGAGACAATTTTTTTTTTGAAGACATGCAAACTACTGGACAATACATCAGCAGGTTAAGATGTCTGATGAGCAGGAAAACACATAAATGTTCACAAGTCTCTATTAAGGAGGATTCACCTGAAAACACACACCACTTCTTGGTTTTCTGCTCATTTATGAGTCGCAACATAAAAATGTTACACAAAACATTGGTTCTTTTTTTTCTTTAAGAAAAGAAATAACATTTTTAAAAATAAGAAATTTCATGAGAAATACAACAGATAACATCTTTAGGTCACTGAGGAACAGGGTAGAAAACTTTGATATGAATGGCTGAATTATTACGCGTGCGTGTCATGGGCTCTCCAGCCTCGTCAGGATCTTCAGGCTCCAGGTCGTCAATGAGCTCCACTGTGGAGGTGTTGGCAGCCAGCTGCAGAGCCCCCTGACTACTGGCCTGCAGCTGCAGTGCAATGTTAATCGCTCTGTTGATAGCCAGACCCAACCCATGGACGCATATCTCCCTGTGACCTCCACCCTCCAGCAGCTTCTGACAACGCGCCAACTGAGCCCGGAAATCGGTTTTCATGTTAACGTAGACGTCGTTCCGCCTCTTTGGAAGTTTCCGGGGGAGACGCTTCCTCAGAGTGTACTCCACTGGATCCATCTCCACCGCCTGGGCGCTGGTCTCAGTCTGGGTGGGGTTATTCTGAGGGATGGCGGACATCCCAGGGTTGCGTGGTTCAGTCATTTTCTAGTTGAGATGAAGAAAAGAAAGACTTGTTTGCATACTTATTTAAAAGATAAAACAGAGCACATAAATGTAAAAAAATAATAAGTAATTAACCTCAGCATTTAAGAAAGTCAAACAGAAAAAGTATTAGCATGAGAAAGAACTGACCAGAAAGATACAATAGTCTATAAAAACACCTCAAGTTCACCTCAAATCATGTTACTCCTTCATATTTTATAAGATTAACTAATTATTCTATTATTCAGTGGTTATTTGCCTGTTTCATTTACTTATTGAATTAAGACAAATAGATATAGACTCCATGATGAAAATATGAAACGGGATCACATCCACCAGGTCACACCTGAAAGCCAAACAAACCCTCCACCTTGTGCTCAACATAAATTAGAAAACTTGGTCTCCAGAACACAAAGTTACGTTTATGTGACCAGTATAAACGAAGTGGCTTTTTATTTGCACTGCTGTTGGATCAGAGGAGGATTTTTTCCATCATTAAACAAAGGTTAATATCCAATAAGCTAAACCCCGCCTAACCGCTGCGCCGCCTGCACGCCCCGGCTCTGAAATGGAGCGCACACACACCCTGGCTGGATACTAAATCGAAAAATGTGGATTTAAAAGAAACCGTCGAACGATTTTGCTTCTCTGTTTGTTCATTTTCGTTACATATTTAATAATAATCAATATTTATAGTCGACATTTCTGCTACGACATAAACCAGCGTCCAGCTGAAATAAATAAGCACGATGACAGAAAAGATAAAGAAACGACCGACATAAATAATTAAATCTACCCTGCAATTAATTTCTGGATAAAAATATAAAGCTGATAAACTATCGATATAACGAGCGGATTTACCTCCAGAAAACAGTTTAATCGTTGCTTCAGGTCGTCGCCATCATTTCGTTCCCCCTATCCGCACAAAACCGGAAGTGACGTTGCTAACCCGGAAGTAAACATTCAGCTGGAACTTTTCGGATCTTTAAGTGGATTTTTATCCTGCTGTTTTCCTTTAAAGACGTGAAAAAAATGGAATCTGATGGGAAAATAGACTGGGGTGACACTGTAAATGAAAGGAATGAGAAAATTGAGACTTTATTAAAGAATGTGCACGCTGGTCTCTCTGATCCACTGACAGATCCTGTGAAACGCTCCCTGCTTAGAGGAGACTACCTGTACTTTCACTATGGCTGTGATGGACAAGATGACAGAGGATGGGGCTGTGGATACCGAACCATCCAGACCATGGCTTCATGGATCTACTTTAATAGCTCCCTGGTTACAAAGCAGGAGACAGTCGCTCCAAGCCTCCCTCAGATCCAGAAAGCCTTGGTGACCATGGGGGACAAACCAGGCTCTTTCTTAGGCTCCAAGGAGTGGATAGGGACCTTTGAAGCCTCCTTGGTGCTGGACTTCTTCTATGATGTCCCCTGTAAGGTGGTGCATGTCAGAGGTGGAGGAGCAGAGCTGGAGCAGGTTGCAGTGGAGGAGCTCCATCAGCACTTTGAGAAGCACTGTTCTCCAGTCATGATGGGAGGAGACAGGGACAATTCCTCTAAGGGTATATTAGGGGTTTGTACCGGGGACAGGGGGAGCTACCTACTAGTTGTTGATCCTCATTACTATGGGAGACAGCTGGAGGAGACAGAGCTGCAGAGGAGGGGCTGGGTGTCATGGAAACGAGTCTCATCACTGGACCAGTCCTCTTTTTATAACCTCTGTCTGCCTCAGACAGCTGCAGAGAGGAAATGAGAGAGAAATGAACTGACGGAATATGTTAACGTTAGCTCTAGTGCCATCTAGTGGTTGAAGTGTGAATTCATCTGGTATAATTTTTGTCCATGGTTCCAATAAATTGCTGTCAAAACATTCACTTCAGATTCTTGTTTATTTATTGTAGGAACAGATTATTTATTTTCTTCTTCAGGTTTCTGGAAATTGCATTTTGATTTGAGGAAATAATAGGATTTGGATCAAAAAAGGACAGGGGATCAAAATGACCCTAACTAAAGTAATATATCTGTTGGATAATGTTTCCCACCCCAACATGAAGCTGACGCAGAACTGGAAAGCTCCTTCAGTGACAGACTGCTGCACCCTAAATGCACCAGGAAGCGTTATCACAGATCCTTCTTCTCAGGAGCTGGGAGATTTTATAACCATCACTGTTCCCAACAACCTCAATAAGTTGTTACAGTCAGGCTTATTTTGCACAGTTTCTGTCTTAGTCACTTAAATAACATACTGCTGTAATTTTTGCACATCTCTGGTTTTGCTGTTATTTTTCACATATCCATTACTTTAAAAATCCAAAGCTGTTATTGATTATTTACTCCCCAGATACAGATCATTTGTCTATTGCAGAAACACTGTATAGTACAGTGCAATACTTATTTGTTTATTTTCTTAACTCTAACTTATTTTGTTATTTTTATTTACTTTCTAAGGTCCTCATTGTGTGACCACTTCTGCTGTAACCTTTTGCTGCTCTAATGCCACTATTTCCCCCATTGTGGGACAATAAAGGGATTTTCTACTCTATTCGAAACAAATCTTTCTAAACCCATCAGTATAGAGAAAAAAAAAACTTCAGGAAATGGAGCGTTTCAAACTGGCATGTTGTTTATTTCAGGTCATTTTTTGACACAAGGCAATAAAATTATAAATGGAACAATAGATTTTAAAAAGTTTAGTGTACATTCGTTTTTTATTGGATTTTTTATTTATATGTTTAGTTGGAATGATGGTAGCGAACCCTTTTCTTTGAGTTGCTCTCCCTTTGACCATCTTATGCCTTTACCTATGTCTTTGACTGATTTGACATAAGATACATCTGCATTTCTACAATATTAATGAATCTGGATGAATTGATACTTAATAGTATAACACATGGATAATCGGGTAATAAATTGACTAAAATGCTCCTAGTTCCTGTCAATCTGTTCAATTCAATGTATAATTTCTTTCTAACTACAACAAGCTCAGGCTTTTTTTTATTAACTTCTATACTTATAACATCTAAGTTATCATTACATAGATTTTCTTAGTTATCTGGCACACAGTCATTGTAGAAAATCTGGAAGTTCTTGTCCACATCCATCCTTCCTTTAAGGAACTTCTCTAAATTCTTCAGGGGAACTTCCACCATCTGGTTATTGATGCGATCGTTGAGCCCGTACGCCCCAAACACAGGAAACTTGTAGCGCACGAAGTACGGGGCATTCTGGTCGAACTGCGTGCAGCAATAGGCCGACCACATGTACTCTGGCACAGCCACTCTGTCCATGTTGTTGCGACGGATGGTGTGTCCCGAGGTGGTGACCCCGGTGATGACGTAGGCCTTTCCTCTGCAGTAGTTGTTGAGGCGTTTGCGGATGATGTCCTGGTGTTCGGCCCAGGGGCCCAGGTTAAACTCTCTTATCTGAGGCACCACGTTTGTCAAGCTGTAGGTGGAGGCTTTGTCCATAGGGTCGGCCTGATGCTCGTCTGGGTTTAGTTGGCCACGTTCATACTGAACAACGTCAGCGTAGTCTTCTAGGACTGCCTGGGTGTCCTCAAAGTTCATATGCATGCTTGTAGACTGGGGGAAAGGCTCCATGTTGCTGCTGCTCTTTTCTGATGCCAACTGTCGAGAGAAGTAAAAATCCTGCTAATATTTCTGTAGATCTACTGTGTAACTAATCAAACCTTACTTTTTATTCCACAAGGGAGCCTATCTCAAAGTTTTCTTTGTAAAGGCAGGCCCTTGTGATATTTAAACTTAGTTCCCAAAGGATAGAAGTAGGATTTTAAATAGAAAACATTTTCTAATTTGTTTAACTTAAACAGGATGATACATTAAAACCCACCTGAGGTTCAAACATCCAGGGGAAGTCCACCTTTTTCTCTCCATCTGACTTCTTGAACGTATACGCCGAGTAGATGGGGATGTGTCTTTGGGGGTCATAGACCGTGGCATAGCGGGGTTTATCTTCGTATCTCTGGCAGATCCTCTTAAAGCTGTTGCCGAGGTATCCTCTCGGTGGAGTTCCCATGTACAGAGAGTCCTTGCAGCGCTCTGCATGGTTGAAGTCGCTCACTACTCCTGCCTGGACCCCTTGCTGTACCACAGAGGTGAGCACCATCAGAACAGCTGCCAGGGAAAGCACTCGGTTTGCAGACGTAGGCATCGTCGCTGCAGCTTGTTTTTTCTCACTTTCTGGATGCACCTGCAGGTCTTTGTGATTCCTCTGGTGAATGAGGCTGCAATTTCCAGTGTCCAAAAAGTACAGCCTCCGTTTCGGCTCTATCGACTCAACATTTCCCTTCCTGCCTCATCAGTGCTTCCAACTGATATCGCATCGTAAAGTCTTTCCATATATTCAAATTGCTGCAAGTGAACTAGAAGTAGTTTAAGGTACTGAATGTTATCAGTCACTGAGAGCGTTTTATCGCACCTCTTTTTCACATTGCTGGCATGACTTTGTGGAATACATGCAGGAGAAACATGGATGGCTTTAATCCAGCGTTTGCATTTGTCTTAAATTTCACAAGGAACTAAAATAGAGATGTGATCCATGCCCATGTCTGCAGAGGAAACTCATCTTCAGAGATTAGAACCTAAACTAGCAATAAAATTACCTGATCTATCTTTATTTAGCACGCAAAAGTAAGTAATTAAAAAGAAAATAACAGCATTGTTTGATGCTGAATTAGCTCCATTTACCTCACCTCAACCAGTCTTTTCCCTTTTTATGCTGACATCTTAGAAAGCTGCACATTTTAAAGGAAACAAGTAGAAATAAATTCTGAAAATACTGTGCATGCTTTCACATATTATAGATTTAAATCATATTTAACCTAATGACTAATTATGACTTACACTTTTCTAAACTATATTTATACCTTTTAAGGCCTTTTTCAAAACTTCCATACGCCAATCTGTGACTTAATTTAGCTAAAAAAAAATCAACAGACAGATGTATAAAAAATCAAAAAGATAAGCTATTACAACCTTAACCGAGTGGTAATGTTAACAAAGTGGTAATGTTGATGTAAGGACTAGTCTTCTCAGATTTTCTATCATTGGGGGATTGTGTATTGGCGTTCCAACACTTCAGAGGCTGAATGTGAAGTTGAATAATGACAAGGAAGTTTTTTAAACAACTACATATAAGACATTAGAAAGACAAAGGTCCTCCAGTCCAGAGTCTGCAACCTACTGCTCCTCCCATTAAATAAATTAAGATAACCACATATCAGCGTTTAATTTCAAAGTAGGGCTTTTAAAAGTGAATCAGGTTTTAAACAAAAGGGATCGAAGATGAATACATTTATGTTTTAGTCAACAATAACAATACCTGGATATGTTAATGGTGAAGCAGAGGCTTGCTATATAGCTGTGACACAAGAGCTGAATATTAGTGGAGTCTGGCATGGTTATCTGAACGCTCAAAAACACTTGATGGCACACTATAACTATAATAATACAGTAAAGACAGCCTTTATGATCCAAATGATAGGCTTCAAAATGTATTTGTCACAACATAATCATTTTCTATTTCTATTCAAAATTGAGATGGAGATTCTGGCTAATTTACAGGTTCCAAGTTTGGACAATGTGTGTGACATTATCTGGACTTCAATATTGAAATGTTTAAAAGTTAACTGACGTTGTTGCACTATTTTATCTGTTTCAATATGGCTGTAACAACCTCCTAGGTGTGAGATCTTGGTCACAAATTCTGTGAATGACTGAAAAATCCAGAATAGCTGTGTTGTTGTTTTTTTTTTTTATTATTTATTTTTGGTTTTGGGGGTTTGAAAAAAATATTCTGGGCTTAAACAGATTAAATATTTCTCAGCTGCACCTCAAATCATCTGATGGTAATACCTTTGTCAGCATCTCTTAATCAGCTGCTGAAACTCCATACCATTCCTGTCATTCCTATTCATTCATTTACAAGCAGTTCCCTGATCTAGAAAATGATGTTCATGCCCTACCTGACACTTCTAATATTAAATTAGGCTTAAAAAAATTACCAAAGACAGCTTGATACAACATTTTATTTATATATAATCAGAGGATTCATTCAGAAGGTTTTTGTAAGATAAAATAATGTTCCTGACAGATAACTTAGAGAGTTTATGGTTCTTGTGGTGGATGATTACATACCTCCTTTTAAGGCTTTTCACACAGGTCCCATTCTACTAATTGATAAGCTGTAAATATGTCATGTAATAATCATATTTCAACTTCATGCAATGTTTTATGTTAAAATGTTGAGGTTGTTTCAGTAATTGATGCCCAAGCCTAGTCCTAGTCCTTGATTATTTAAACTCCCTCATCAGCAGGTCAGTCAGCTCCACAGAGGCCTGGCAATGAGCCATTTATTTCATTTAGGTGTGATATGAGAACAGCTAACAACAACCCTAACTGATTTTTATTATGGTAGTATTTCAATCTGGGTTCTTGTTCTGAACATCATCTTGTCTGTAACTTTCTTTTTTTTCCTTATATGACACTATAAGAAATCTTATATAGAAAATAAAGTTCTGTAATCACTGTCACATGTGTTAACAAGCCACAAAAAAATATGCTATGATAAAATTCTGCTTATATTGTTGGTTAAAAAGCTTTTATTGTATATTTTTCATAGAGTGAAATTATTATTAGTAGTAACTTTATTTTTCTTTAAACTCACAATTTAACTAAAATACTTTTCTTAGTCAGCTTTCCCGGATGATATAGGGTTGCAGTCCCCTAGAAAAATTTGAAAGTTCTGATTCACAAACATTGTCTTCTTGAGGAACTCCTTCAGCTTAGGGACGGTGAGCTCCACAACTTCGTTATTCTCATCATCATTCAGGGCATAATGAGCAAAAGACGGGAACTTAAAGCGCTCTGTAAAAGGGGTGTTGTGGTCGTAGTCGGCGCAGCAGTAAGCCGACCACAGGTAGGTGGGCACGGCGATCCGGTTCATGTTTTCTCTACGGATCATCTTCCCTGACGTGGTTATCCCGGTCACAATAAAGGCCTTCCCGCGGCAGTAGTTGTTCAGCCGTTTGCGGATGATGTGCTCCTGTCTGTTCCAGATTCTGTTGCTGAAGTCGGGCACCATGGGGACGACGTTGGTGAGGGTGTAAGTGGAGGCCTTGTCTTCGAGCTCGTTCTGATGCTCGTCTGGGTTCAGGGTCCCTCGCTCGTAGAGTATTGCGTTGGTGTAGTCGTCGAGAATCGCTTGAGCGTCTTCAAAGTTCATGTGCATGTAACCATGAGGAAAGGGCTGCATCTCTTCTGTTTCTGTAAGAGTGGACAGCTGTGCAGGACACAGAACAAGAGAACAAGCATGACACATGTCATTACATGTCATCAAGAAATGAAGCATGGGGCAAAAACATGCAAAAAAGCAAAGTAATCGCTTCTTGATTCAATGTTTTAGTTGTCCGACCAGTTTTCCTGCTCTCCTTACCTGTGGCTCGTACATCCAGGGAACATCAATGCAGTTCTCCCCATCCGAGCGTTTAAAGATGTAGGCAGAGTAAATAGGAATGTGATCTTCCATGTTGTACAGAGTCACATAGCGAGGCTTCTTGCGGTAAAACTGACATATGTACTTAACAGAGTGGTGTTCCAGACCTGTTGGTGGTGTTCCCATGTAGAGAAATTCTCTGCACTCTGGAGATAGCTCTATTTCCACTCGCCCTTGTACCGCTGCCAGTGATAAGCTTGCAAGCCAGAAGCCCATCCGTAGCCAAAGCGCCATAATCAAAATATGAAACAATGTCTTCAACCCAAATCCACCTGCTGCTGAATTTGTGTTTAATATCGGAATGTGTCTCAGTTTGTTCTGTGATGTTCAGCAGAAAAGGTTATGCAGGTTTTACACGTGTTCACACCTCTGTGTAATCTGGAGAAAGTATGCAAAGTGATGGACTTTAGGCAGAGCAGATCCACCCACTGACAGGAAAAACATTCAGTAACCAGCAGCAAAGGGTCAAATGCATCTCCTACCAACAGAAAAGAAAACGAAAAGCCTTCCATCCTATCTAGCAATATGGTTAATCAGTCTTGCAAAGAAACAAACCTTTTTAGCAGATTTAGCAATGTTTTATTGTTTGTGCATCCAGAAAGTATTTACAACCCTTAACTTTTTCTGCATCTACTTATGTTACAGTGTTATTCCAATTTATATTCATACATATATACCGGAAAACATAATTGAAATAAGTATTTGCAGCCTTTGTCATGAGGCTACGAATTGAGCTTTTCCCACTGATCGTCCTTGAGATGTTTCAACAGCGAAAATGGCCTCCACTTGATGAGATTTGGAATTTGAGTCTGTCAAGGATCAAAACCTGTTCCATTAATTCTAGATTGTAACTTATTCAATTCAAGGTTATCCATTGTTTGCACTTTTCTAAAACCAAACTTAATAAGCTATTTCCTAGTGTCTCTCCAACATGTGACAAATGTAAATCAGATAATGGGACTTTGGGTCATATGTTTTGCTGCTGCCCTAAGCTTATGGACTTCTGGTACAGAATATTTAAATTTTATAGTAACGCCACTTATGACAAAGTTCTATATCCGGAAAACCATTTGGTAATTCTGGGTTGCTCTAAATTCTCTATTACTCTTCGCATGTCTCTGCAGCAGGCTGTAATGTTTGGTTTGGTGGTTGCGAAATGGGTTATTCTGCGGGAATGNCCCATAAACACACTCCTAAACCTTGTGGACAGCCTTCCCAGAAGAGTTGAAGCTGTTCTAGCTGCAAAGGGTGGACCGACGTCATATTGAACCCTATGGATTAGGAACGGGATGTCACTTAAGCTCATATGTGAGTCAAGGCAGGTGAGCAAATACTTTTGGCAATATAGTGTAAGTATTTGCAGCCTTTGTCATGAGGCTACGAATTGAGCTTTTCCACTGATCGTCCTTGAGACGTTTCAACTGCAAAAATGGCCTCCACTTGATGAGATGTGGAATTTGAGTCTGTCAAGGATCAAAACCTGTTCCACTAATTCCAGATTGCAACTTATTCAATTCAAAGTTATCCATTGTTTGCACTTTTCTAAAACCAAACTTAACTTAACTTAATTTCCCAGTGTCTCTCCAACATGTGACAAATGTGAATCAGATAATGGGACTTTGGGTCATTTGTTTTGCTCCTGCCCTAAGCTTATGGACTTCTGGTACAGAATATTTAAATTTTATAGTAACGCTTATGACAAAGTTCTATATCCGGAAAACCATTTGGTAATTCTTGGTTGCTCTAAATTCTCTATTACTCTTCGCATGTCTCTGCAGCAGGCTGTAATGTTTGGTTTGGTGGTTGCGAAATGGGTTATTCTGCGGGAATGGAAATCCTCTACCTCTCCATGCTTTAAGAAATGGCTCAATGATATGGTTTCCTGTATCTATCTCGAAGAAATTCAACACTCTTTGTCAGACAATCATGATAAGTTCCTTGATGTGTGGGGTCCTTTTAATAGACACATTCAAAATAATGGGTTAAAATGACTCTCATACTTTTCTGGACCTTTTTTCTTTTTTTTTTATTCTTTTTTTTATTATTCATTATTATCTTAATACTGTCATCCTTTATTGCACTCTTCTTTTATTGATATCCCATGTTTTATGTTGATCCGCTTGACACAATGTCTTCAGAATTGTTTGTTGTCCTCTCTGACTCTGCCTTTTGCTTTAATATGCTCTACAGTTTAATTAGTACATCTTTTATCCTGTTATCAGTTCTCCAGTTTGCTGACACTTTTTTGTCTTGTTGATTTTTGTTTTTGCTGTACTTGTGTACTGTTTTGCTGTATTTTTTTCTCTTTTTTGTCTTGTCTGTTTAACTCTGAAAAAGCATAAATTAAAAAAAAAATGGCCTCCACTTATGGTTAATGAATTGTATTGGCCATGATTAAGAAAAGGTATGCACCTTATATAGGCACCACAGTTAAATGTGCATGTTGGAGTCTAAATACCTGGCATCATGCAAAAGAGATTGTCTGAGACAGGATTGCCTTGAGGAGCAAACCTAGGGAAGGGTACAGAAAATGTCCTGCTAGTTTGCAGATCCCCTGGAGTTGTGAAACCACCTGTGTTTTCCCTAAAGCTTGGCCAGCCATCTAAATAATCAGGAGAGAAGGACCTTCATCATGGAAGTGACCAAATACCCCCAATGCTCCTCTGTGAAGAGAGAAGAACCTTCCAGAAGGTCAAACATTTCTGTGAGCCTTCAATCAGGTCTATATGACACAGTGTTCAGACATAGGCTTCTCCTCAGTACACAGCAGAATGTCTGAAGTAAACCAAAGACACATAAAGGACTTTCTAGACTATGAAAAATAACTAGTGTGATCTGAGAATACAAAGATTGAACTCTAGTGGGAATGCTAGGTGATACATTTGGAGGAAACACCCATTTGTCAACCATTAAATGTCCGTTAATGGCGGTTATCAGTCCCATTGAAAGGCTTCAGACTGCGCCTCCTCTACCTTCTATTAGGTTTCTTATGGCCGCTTATCTTATGCAGCTTATTGTTAATAATAGCCACTTTGGCCATGTATAAAACCTTAAGTTTCACTTTCTATTCACTTTATACTTTTTATCTAATTTATTTACAGCCTACGTTTTTTTTTTTTTTTAAGTGCATTTTAAAGTTTTACTTTGAATGAATTCCTCATATTTCAGTCAAGCATATTTAATTAGGTGTTTAGAGAAAATCTCAGTTGACAGGATATGATATCTTTTGGAGGGGTTGTTCAACAAGAGTTACATGCCAATCAACTTTTTTATATGATAGTTGAAGAACTACTAAAATTATATTCAGATTCAACATAAATACAACAATAACAACTACTGATAACAACCTACTGGTAGGTAGGAGGCACAATCTGTAGCCATTCTATGGAACTCCATTTAATGGGATGATAACATCCAAAGATGCTTTAGGAAACCAGGCTCCCATTCATCACTGGACCATTAATAGCCCTCTGAAGCATGGTGGTAGCAGCACCATGCTGTGGGGATGTTTTTCAGCATTAACCTGAGGAACTGGCAGAATAATCAGGCGGAGGAAAGATTAAATGCAGCAGAGTTCAGAGAGGCCCTGGTTGAAAATCAACGTCAAGGCGCTTTTGGCCTTATACCGGGGCACCAACCAAAAGCAAACAGCCAAGACCTGAAATAAGTCAATCAGAACCACTCTGTGAGAGTCTTAAGTGGCCAAGCCAGAATCCAGAACTGAATCAGATGGAACGTCTATGGAGAGATCTGAAAAGGGCCTTGAGATACTGCTGAAAAGGAATGGGATAAACGGCCCAGTGATTGGCGTGTTACATTTAAGGCATCGCATTCAAAAACACCTGAGGTGGTTAAAGGTGGTTCAAAAACGTACTAATCAAAGACTTTGAATACCGGTACTTAAGTAAATGTGACTTCTATGTTTCTGTTATGAAACATTTCCAACAATAAAATATTAATAAATATCAATAAAAATACTGTCCCTTAAGAAGTCCCATTAAGGAACTTTGAATATCTTTGAAGCCTTGAATTAAATGTACACCATGAGAGCAATAATTCCATAAAAAGCCTGCATTTGATGAGCTAAATAAGGCTGACCTGCTAGTACGCTGACCGTTTACAGTCAGCCCATCTTTGCTTTATGAATGTCCAAGTAGCTGCCCCTTTTTTCACTAGATGTCAAGATTTCTCTAAACATCACAGGAGGTATAACCTTTCAGACCTTTTTTAAATGTGTTTATTAATGTTTTCAAGGCTGCTCTTTAAAAAAATGAAATTGTCTAGAGCTGTTTTAAACAAAATTTATTTTTGTATACACACGTGTATACAACATGACAAAATAAATCTGTCTAAGAGTATAATCATTGTTCAAATAATCTTTTATGCCCTAAAAATAAATAATGAAGACATAATCAAGCTAATTTTATTATTGTTTTAGTCCATTCTGAGATGATCTCAGCGTTGTGACATGGGTTATTATTATGGTAAAAGTAGTAAACAGAAGATATGGACACTGTGATAAAAAACAAGATGAGGAAAGGATCAGAAAGGATGTAAAATTCAAAGGACGTTCAACTGGTACTGGACGGCCCAAAGCGACCCCAGATATGGTTTTTTGTGTTGTCATTTTGGTTCCTTTTGCTTTCATATTAAACTGTCTGCAGATCTTCTACTCACGTCAGTCGGACGATGTCTGTGTTTAAGTTTTTTTTTAAAACTTCAGTATATTTAATGTCTCCTAAACATGTCAATGTGGCCTTTGCATCATATATTTGAATAAGCTTTCATTCACTATCAAAAAGAAAGAAATTTGTCTCTAATGTTAAGTTTATTAAACACAGAATTTTTAAATATTTAGGGACCTAAATGCATTTAAGGTATTCTTTAATTTAAAGGTCTAAGGAAGGAAAAAACTTGACGGACATTTAGAGACCTTAGTAATTGTGTGCCTGCAACAAGCTGACCTTTTATGTGGAGCCCAGCATCCCTTTCTGAATATCTGAGCAGCAGTCGATATATTTTCCTAAAAGCATAGGGTGTATGTAAACCATATAGATTATGTCAGTACACATCTACTCTGATAAATGTTACATAGGAGTTAGTGTGGTTGACGTCTGTCTGTAGTCACCTGCTGGCTGGGTTTGGTTAAGACATTAGGAACAGTTAGAGCTAAATCCACACCCAGGGGCAGGATTATAAAACACAGAGAATATACACATGCACAACTAAAACCTACAAACACTATGTGAAGGATTCCAGGTCAGGATTTGAACCCGGGACCTTCTGACTGACAGGCCTGATAAAAACAGGACAACTCTTCAGCC